GATGGGGGTGGAGCCGGCCCTTTCCTCCCCCTCCCAATGTGACTCTAAGTCGCCTCCCACGAACGGCCTCTCTGGCTCCTGATCAAGCCGCTTAATGGCCATGATCCCAGAGACTGAGAAACAAATCTCGAAACCCAGTGGCTTTTGGCAGAAATGCGTCCGGACCCCACAGTAGATTACTGTTGCCGGGCTACCCCACAGGGAAAGGGTGCTGTCCCTCTGCCTGCTCCCCCTAGGCTGCTCGGTGGCCGCCATCCTCCAGAGGCCATTGGACAGTCAAGTTTGGGCCTGCAGTGATGAGACACATGGGTCAAGACCCTGAGTTACCGCCAACAAACAGCCTCTCTGGCTCCTGGTCAAGCTGCTTAATGGCCATGATCTCAGAGACTCAGGAACAATTCTCGGAACCCAGTAGATTTTGGTAGAAATCCCTCCAGATTTAAGTGTTAAAATTTCATAATTTCAAAATCACGTGGCCACTACTGCAGCCATGTGATATCATATGTTATTCATAGCCAGGAACAGAAAACAAATTGTCTACCGTTGTCTTTTCGGCAAATCTGAGTGTTGAGGTAAAGTCCCAAATAATAATGGTGGGTCTGGTGTCAAAATATTGAATGCAATCAAAGAAGAGAGAGAATAATGTGGAAATTATCTGCCCCACATATATGGGGAGGGTGTGGGATGGGGGTATACTGGGGTTTTTGGTGGTGGAGAATGGGCACTGGTGAAGGAATGGGTGTTTCACTGTATGACCGAGACTTAAACCTGAAGGCTTTGTAACTGCTCTCATGGTGATTCAATAAATAAAATTATAAAAAATGGAAAAAGAAAAGTAAGGTGGAGTTCATGCCCAATTCAATCAGCCTAATCAGTGGCTGAATAAATAGCAGTACTCCTACATAAAAAAAGAAAAAGAAAGAAACAATGCACTAGTTATGACCAAATAGAATAACAGAATTACAACTTAGTTCCATACTAAGTTCTTCCCCATACAGGGAGTTTCTTTTCCTTTCTTTTCTACTTTGCAATAAATATTTCAACATTTCAACTTTCTTTAAAAAACAACAACAACAACAACTTAAGGGACTGGAGCAATAGTACAGCGGGTAGGGCGTTTGCCTTGCACACGACTGACCCAGGTTCGATTCCCAGCATCCCATATGGTCCCCTGAGTACGGCCAGGAGTAACTCCTGAGTGACCCAAAAAGCAAAAAACAAAACAAAACAAAACAAAACAAAAAAAAGAACTAATAAGTATATTTAAAGATGGTTGGAAGGGTAAGGGAAGACAATCAAATAATTAAATAAAATCTGGAAAATCTAATATAAAAGTAAAAATGCCAAGTAAAAATGAGAATGAGATAAGGCCTATAAGTGACTATTTTTTGAAACTTTAAATCGTTCTCTTGAAAATTTTTATTTCCAAAAGAAACATAAAGCATCATAACTATGAATAAAACAGTGAAAAGTTAATTATACCCCAAAATAGTTCTAGGACCAATGAATATCACTGGAAAGTGCAGTCAAACTGTCAAGGACACATTTTTTGATTGCTACAATCTCAAATATATTTGAGACAGCAATAACATTGCTACAAAAACAAACAGCAGAGTTTATAAAAGCAAAAGTAAGTCTCACTGTGGAACATACAGTCTTAGGGTATGTATTCTGTTGGAAGAGAGAGAGAGAGAGAGAGAGAGAGAGAGAGAGAGAGAGAGAGAGAGAGAGAAAGAGAGATCTATGAGGGAATGATAGGAGAAATGTAAATGCCAGAAACAGATTGTTTGGAGGGGATATTTAAGCCTTCAAGACCTTGCAAGGAGAAGTCAAAATTAAGCAGGAAGCATACCATAAACGAAATGAGTCAGAAAGAGAGAGACAGACATAGAAAGATTGCATTCATTTGGGGAACACAAAGTAACAAAATAGGAGATAAACACCCAAGAATAGCCGAGATAAGTACCAGGAGGTTTACTCCATGGCTTGGAGGCCAGCCACACATGCTAGGGGGAAAGGGAGCTCAGACAGAAAAGGGAGCATCAAATAAAGGGTGTTGGGAGGATCCTCCCGGGATGGGAGATGCGTGCTGAAAGTAGACTATAGACAGAACAGGATTTCCACTCAATGCCTCTTTTGCAAACCACAGCACTCAAAAGGAGAGAGAGAACAAAAGGGAGGGAATGTCCTGCCACAGAGGCAGGGTGGGATGGGGGGATGGGGGGGTGGGAGGAATACTGGGATCCGTGGTGGTGGAGAATGGGCACTGGTGGAGGGATGGGTACTCGATCATTGTATAACTGAAACTCAAGCACAAAAATTTGTAAGTCTACAACTGTACCTCATGGTGTTTCACTAATAAAAATTAAAAAATAAATAAATAACATTTTAAATCTCATTTAAAAAAATTTAAAAAAGAAGGGAGCATACCAAATATTTACAGTTCTGCAAGCACAAAAATGAAGTAAGCAAAACAACACAGAAAGGTGTAACTAAATGGCACTGTGAACTTGAAACAAATCTGCATCATTCTTAGGCTATTCTAGCAGACTCTTCTCCAAACTAATGATCTTACTAGAAAAACAGCATGTGCAAATAAAGTCATCAGTAGATGAGAGGTATAATTACACTGACTATCTTGAATAAGTCTGACTATCTTGAATAAGTCTGTGTGGCTTTCACCCAGGAAGAAGTCCAACCAGAAGGCCTCTAGCAAAAGAACCCTCATCTATAGTGTTTGTAGATATGAAAGTAGTAATCTTAATAATTTTTGTATTTAAGGTATTTTATCGCTTGTGATGCATTAAAAGATTGTAATGAAATGTTAACGCAGTGATAACATGATGCTTTGGGCGCAATTGGCATTACTAGGATTGAAAGAGTAAGTAACAATTGCTCAAAAATTATTTCATCTGTTTGTTTCTGTGGTGCCACGGGTCAAACTCAGACTCTCATATTTGCAAACCCTCACATTTGCAAAGCAAGAGCTCTACCACAGACCTGTATCCCTGACCCTTGTTCAACTTAATTCCCCTCTAACTTTTGTTTTGTTTTTGTTGTTGCTGTTTGTTTGTTTGGGGGCCACACCCAGTTGTGCTCGGGGCTTGTTCCTGGGTTTGCTCTAAGGCAAGACTTGGGAACCATATGAGATGCCAGGGATCAAACCCAGGTCTGCCACGTGCAAGTCAAGCACCTCACACACTTTACTACTGTGCTGACTTTGTATTATGCTACATATATATATATCTCATATATGGTATATATGTATACCATATATACCATATATATGTATATATGGTATGTATATAATCTTTGTATTATGGTGGTTTTGCTCAGCTGTTTGTAGTTTGGTTGCTTATTTTTAAATAGTTACTATTTGCTAAGTATTTCTCATTGTCAATACATTTTTATAGAAGTTCTACATTTTTATAGAATCTCTTGTATTTTGTCACCATCATACTTACATGGTAAAGAGAAGTCTATTGGAATTTAGTCTTATAAATGTAATACAGCTATAGTTCACTTGATCACTTGACATCCCGTTACTCATCGATTTGCTTGAGCGGGAGCCAGTAACGTCTACCTTCGTCCCTGTCGCATTCTGTTGTTCCTAGAAGGAGCAGATGCCATTTGGCTACACAGCTATGGTTAATGACTATATAAGTCAAGTCATAATAGAAGTATCTTTCAAATGATTTTAATAAAAGACTTTTGGTCAAGCTGTGGGAAATCTTTTTAAATTAATACACTTGTGTTTCTTTTTATTTTTAAAATAAATATAATTGGTTTGTGTGGAAGGCCAGGAACCATTTCATTCCCCAAAAAACTGCCAGGAGTGACAATTGAGTACCAATGCAGAATATCAGCCTCCAGGCTTGTCTGGGTGTGCCCTTCAAACCACAAATACATAATAAGATAAATATACTTAACAATTAACAAAAAAAATTCAATACATGTAAGCATTGTTAAATAATTGTGTTTAGGTTTGTGTCTTTTGATCTTCCTAATCCACTTCATTCCCCATCCCCCTTCCATTTGGCTGTCACCAATCTTTCTCTCTCTGTGATCTCAGAAACCAGGAAATGCTAATTGAAGACTGTAACGCGGCCTTCTTGGCACTTGTATCCAAGAAGCTAGTTACCAAGACCACCAGATACATTGAACAGCAGTACCAAACACAGCCAACAGGGAAATGGTAACTCCACTTCAAGGATTATAACCCAACTACAGGGATTTTACATGCAAAGTGTATTGAAAACGATTTTAAGATGCTGATTTACAATAAACTGAATGCTCCTGTGCATCCAAGTCACAACTTAGTTTTTATTTTGGTAACATTACTCAGAAACATGCACTTTGACATTCTAATCATTTCTAAGGGTGATGTAACGCCACTCTCGACGCTTAAAGTTAAACTGAGCACTTTTTTTTTCATTCTTCTGTATTAAGACAGTCTGTATCAAAAATTGGCATAGCCCTTCCTTCTTGAGGTCTTCCGAACCACAACAAAGGAGGCCTTTGTTTTCCTTTTTTGTTTTCTTATAGTCAGATAATAACGAAGTATTTGGGTACAAGGAAAGAACTGCAGAATTGAAAATAGAATGAGGTGCATTAGGAAGTCAGGGACCTGCAAAACAGTGCGTGCCCTTCCGACGTCCAGAAGCTGGTAACGAGCAGGTTCTCTTGAGCCCCGCCCACAACGGGCGGCGTGGCCTATCGGGAGAGGGCTGAGGAACTTTGGGAGAGGTTGGGCGGTGCTAAGGGCGGGAACCAGCGAATCACGGGCACAGTGTAGGTAAAGTAGCCACAAGATAGGCGTGGGCGGGGCTGGAGGCGGGATCTCTGTGGGCCTGGGGCGGGGCCGTCGGCGGGGCGCCCTATGAGGAGCCGCCGCCGGGAGGGGCGGGGCCAGCTCGGCACCTCCCTCCGTCGGGGCTGGTCCCGCAGCGGTCGCCGCGGGCCTGCCCGGCTGCAGGGCGGCGGCGGCGGCGGCGGCTGGCGGCGGGCGCGGTGGGATGCGGCTGACGCGGAAGCGATTCTGCACGTGTCTCTTCGCGCTGTACTGCCTCTTCTCCCTCTACGCCGCCTACCGAGTGTTCCTCGGGCGCCGCCGCCAGGCGCCGGCCGCGTCTGTGCGGGGCCCGAGGAAGGGGCCGGCCCCGGCGCGGGAGCGGCGCCGAGGTAGGGCCAGGCCGCCGCGGCCCTCGAGCCGGGCTCGGGGCCGGGGTCGGCGCCCCCCGCGGCCGCGCTGTCGCTTCCCGAGCGGGTCCCCGGGCCGAGGGCGGGGGCCGCGCGCCCCTTCTAACACCCGCGCCTGTCCCCCGCCCGGCCCCGGCGTGGCACGGCCACCGTTCCTGCGTCCCTGGTTTGGTCCCCGGCTGGTGTTTCACGGCCGCATACTTCGCCTACAGAAGTCATTTTTTATGTTTAGGTTCCGTGTATGTAATCTGTAGCAAATTGCAAAAAGGAAAGTCGTGATTTGATACCTATGAACTTAGAAGGGTGCTTTGGGGAGAGAGGAATTTGTTGGGTCAGGTTGACACCCTTATTTCTGAGATCTTTCCAAGTCCATCAAGAAATATGGGGCTGAAGCGATGGTACAGCGGGTAGAGGGCTTGTGTTGGATGAGGCCGACACCCCCCCCCCCCCCCCCCCCCGGAATCCCACGTGCATCCCATATGGTACCCCTCGGAGCAAGGCCAGGAGTGATTCCTGAGTGCAGAGCCAGGAGTAACTCTCAGCATCGCGGGTGTGGCAGAGACCCGCCCTCCCCCTCCCCCACCAAATAAATAAATAACAACTAAAACCCACAGGCCACCAAGAATTAAATCTGACTTCCTCTGTGTGAGGGGGAAACCCGTCTGAATTTAGTTGCCTAACCTCTTTGAATTAATGAAATTGGAACTTTCTGACATAGCCTTTAAATGGCATCAATCTACAATTGCCGCTCAGCCTTACTGATAAACGGTTACTTTTTAAAACGCAGAAGACTCTCCTTTGGAAAGTGAAGAATGGAATCCTTGGGAAGGAGATGAAAAAGCTGAGCAACAGCACAGATTTAAAACGAGCCTTCAGATACTAAGCAAATCCTCAGAAGTGAAACCAGACCTCTTCCAGGTACAAATCTGGGGCAAAGCTGCCATTGGTAAGTTAATGCACAGCACTAAGCACGTTTTGGGAATCATTGGTAAAGGTAAGGTAAAGGTAAAGGCCCTCCCGTTGATCGTCGATTTGCTCGAGCGGGCCCAGTAACGTCTCCATTGGAGACTTTGTTGTTACTGGGAATCATTGAACTAAACAGAATCACTTTGTTGTAGGCCTTTCCCGTAGCCTTTAATACGTGGGTGTTCATTGCTAATACCCTAGAAGGGGGCTATCTCGTGTGGTTTAAATTTTGTTGCCCACAAAAGCACTTTTGTTGTATCATGAAGTTTTAGAATTTCAGAGATCATAGTCAGAGAATGGAGCCTTCAATGTGGATAATAAGTCAGAAAGAATTTAGTGTGACCCTGGGAAATGTCAGGAAGGGCTACAACACATGTGTTGTATGTTGGAGCCTCATGTGGGAGCCTCAAGTTCATTTCCCATCACCATAGTCTGCACCACCACTTCCCAGCAGAGGGAAATAGCTAGTGAATTAGAATGAAGCTCGTTTGGTCTTTAAACATGAATTAGAGTTATGTACAGGGAGGATTTGAATTGGAAATACTAGTTGGAAGAAAACCAATAATGCTTGGTCTCTGGTAATATATTCTTGCACACTTTCGTGTAAAATATATGTCCTTGAAGATTACTACTGATCTATAATTCTTAAATGCACTGACCTAATCATTAATCATCATGTTCTACCCATCTTTATAAAATGTTAGCATTAATTTCTCCCTTTAAATTCCTGCTTCTCCAGTCTAGTTTTAATTAAATATACATATTAACAGGTTTTCATCTTTCTAGGTGTTTCTTTTAAATCCAGTAAACAAAGTAGCTAGAAGGGTTTTATCAAGAACTACTTTTAGGGACCAGAGAAGTAGTACAGTGGGTAGGACACTTGCCTTGTGTGCAGCTGACCCTGGTTCAATCCATGGTATGGCATATGCGCACCCCATTCCCCCATATGACCAGAATGATCATATGATCATATGATCAATGCTCATATGATCCCTGAGCACAGAACCAGGAGTAAGCCCTGGACAGTGCTGGGTGTAGCCCAAAAACAGCAGGTGGGGGTACCCTATTTTCATCAGCCTGTTCCCTAAGCATCATCACCGTCCTCCCGTTGTTCATCAATTTGCTCGAGCGGGCCCAGTAACGTCTCCATTTTGAGACTTGTTGTTACTGTGTTTGGCATATTGAATACGTCACGGGTAGCTCACCAGTGATAAACATTCCTATTCAATAGGGAAGAGATTTTAAGAACACTTAATCACTGATCCAGGGAATTTTGAGTGCAACCAGGCAAACTCCATTGGGTTGCAAAGTCTGGGAAGACTTGACTTAAAACTTTCCTCCTCATGTTTTTAGCTCCACCTTTAGAGTCATCCTTGCTTCTTTGTGATGGGTGGTATGTGCTCACAGTGGTTTTCTCAAACTGTTTCCTGCTGGTAGCACTTTGAGAATCTAGTAACCTTTTGTTTCAAATTCTCCCTATCTCTTTTAGACCAGGCTAGCAGTATTCTACTCCTGTAATAGTCTCAAGACCCTTGTGGGTCTCCTATGTATGTCACACGGAGCTCTTCCACAGTTACTGGATAAGCTCATCTCGATTTTTATTCTTAAATTATGCACCTAACATCTTCAAAGGAACCTCTATGTGAGTGGGCAACCTGCTATCCTTACAGTGAATCTCATTTTGTTAACCTCTTTTGCATTCCAAGAGGTTAACAAATTCCAGGTTCGCAGATTCCTAGATGATCAGTTCCTGATTCCTTTGGTGTAACTATTCTTCCCTCAATGTCTATATTTCTTCTCATGTCTTCCTATATCACCAAGAGGAAACCAGGTCATAACTTCTACATTCTAACTAAACATCTCTAGCTACATGTTTCAGGTAGCTTCTGCTTTCTACCTTGGTGCAAGGCACAGTTCAGCTTAGTTCATTGCTGTTACATAGACTATTAATTCCTTCTCTCACTACTAACATGCCTCTCATTTCCTTCTGAGCCCTTCTCAGCATCACCGTTCGTGTTCATATTTCTACCAATCTCTTTATGAGGATTGTTTATTCTTTAAGATAATATAGATTTCTTTTTCTAATGCGTCCCTAACTTCTTGCTGAGTTCATAAAAACTGAGTTATTAGCATATGAGTTTTATCTGCAGTCTGTTTAAGTCAGTCTAAACTTTTTTTAATAATGTTCAAAATTCTTTCAATTTCTCCCCATTATCCAGTTTAGTCTTTTTAAGATTTTTAAAATTTGTTGCACAACATGCTATTTTCAGAAATCTTAATCTATAACTGCATAATCTATACTTTCCTGTAATACCCTTAATCCATTACCAAAAAGTTAGTGGCTCAGGGGCCCAACTGATAGTACAGTGGGTAGGGCATTGCCTTACACATGGCTAACCTGGACTCAATCCCTGGCACTTCAAAGGGTCCCCCAAGTCCATCAGGAGTGAACCCTGAGTACAGAGCCAGGAGTATACCCTGAGCATAGCTGGGTGTAGCCCTAAAACAAAAATCAAATTTACCATTTTATACATGAGCTCCTCTGGTTGTGTTGGGCACAAAACAGATCTCTGTGCACCCTACTCCCAGTAAATTATAATATAATATAGAAAAATGTCCAACCACATAGCAACTGGTAATGTAACATTACAAATAAAATCAATGGAAAGAGGTTCAGAGATAATAGAGGTTCTCAGATTTAGACTAAGAGGTTATTGTCTTTAATGTAACCCATATTAGACACAGAGAGTCCCTGAGTTTTGACTCTTAACACTGTCTACCACGTTGATGGTTTTGCAGTGTTACTTGGTAGCACCGCCAGTCACGGAACCAAAAGGAATTGTACCAAAACCCAAAAGTGAGATTGCTGGATCATATTCAGTTTCCTAGGAAATAATTTTTTGTTTTGTTTTGTTTAATTACCAGGTTTGTATCTCTGGGAGCACATTTTTGAAGGCTTACTTACGCCCAATGATGTCAACGCTCAGTGGAGAGAAGGATATTCAGTTGTAGGAAGAATACATTACAGGTATTAATTGTGCAACATTAACCTTTGCTACATTGCTGTACAATGTTTTGTGTAAGACTAGGGGAAAATAAGAAATTTTATACTTATAGAAGATATCTCTACTCCATTCTGTTGTACAGGATGGAGAAATAGGGCTAGAGGATAGCTCACTGGGCTGGTGTGTGTGTTTTGCTGTTGGGAGACTTGGGAGCAGCCTCTAGCACCACATGGCCCCCCCAAGCACTGAGCCTGGAGTAGCCCCCAAGCACTTCCAGGTATTACCCAAAACTCTAGGGGAAAAAATTAAGAATGGAGAAATACCCCTCATAAATATATATTCAAAGTTAAAGCTTGCTTTGAACATTTTCTTCTAAGTTTGGGTAGCAATGCACTGTAGCACTATCCTTCTATTGTTTATCAATTTGCGCGAGCGGGCCCAGTAACGTCTCCATTGTGAGACTTGTTGTAACTGTGTTCGGTATATCCAATATATCATGGGTAGCTTGACAGGATTTGCCTGGAGGTGAGATACTCTTGGTAACTTGCCAGGCTCTCTGAAAAGGGTGGAGGAATTGAACCTGGGACAGCCCGGTCAGCTGTGTGCAAGGCAAATGCCCTACCAGCTGTGCTATCACTCCAGCCCTAAAAATTCTCCCTTTTTAAAAATCATGTGCCTTAAATGTTTCAACTGGTGTATCAGTCATCAAAAGTGATTGGTCTCATTGGTTTGAAGACGGTAAACCATACTACTTTCGAGGTCTCGACTACTGCCCTGCAGTGAACATAGATGTGTATGTATATTTTCAGATTGGTGTTTTGAGGTCTTAGGATGGATACCTAGAAGTGGTTTTGCTGGATCTTATTCTGTTTTATTATTGTTGTTTGTTTTGGAGTCACACCTGGCTATGCTCAGGGCTTACTACTGACTCTGTACTAAGGAATCACTCCTTATAGGTCAGTAGGGACCATATGTGGTGCTGGGGTCAAACCCAGGTCTGCTACCTACAGTGTTCTTAATTTTTTTAAGAAATGTCTATATATGTCTATATACCATTTTTAATAAAGTTTGCTCGAGCGGGCCCAGTAACGTCTCCATTGGAGACTTTGTTGTTACTGTGTCTGGCATATCGAATACTCTCGTTAGCTTGCCGGGCTCTCCGAGAGGGGCGGAGGAATCGAACTCGGGTCGGCCATGTTGGCCGCTTGTAAGGCGAACGCCCTACCCGCTGTGCTATAATAAAGTTTGCATTCCTACCAGTTGTAATATTTATTTTTTTTATTTTCCACATTTTTGCCAGCTTTCTTCCTTGGCATTCTTCCTTGGATATTTCAATATCTTTGAAATAGGCCATAAATAGTAGTACAAGGTGATATAGCTAATTGTCAAGGTGATTTGCATTTCGCAGATAATCAGTGATGATAAGCATTTTTCCATTTACGTTTTTGCCATCTGAATGTCTTTGGAAAAGTATTCTATAGTTTGCCTTTTTGAATGAATTTGTTTGTTCCACTTGTTTGCTTTTTTGTTTTGGAGAGGTACCACCTGGTGTTTTGTTTATTTTTGCTTTTGTTTTCCTTGTCAATGGAGTCAAATTACTTAAAATACTTAGGAAAGGCCAGAGAAATAATATAGAGGGTAAGGCGCTTGCCATGCATGCAGTCAACTCTGACTCAGTCCCAGGTACCATATATGGTCCCTGGGTACATCCAGGAGTGATCCCTGAGCACAAAGTTGGGTATAAACTTAGAACAGAACAAACCAAAGATACCACTGAAGTCAATATTCATGGCTGTGTTATATTTTCTTTTTATATATTTTATGAATTAAGATCTAACACCTAAATATTTAATCCATTTTGAATTAATTTTTGTGCTTAGTGTGAGGTAAAGGCCCATTCTTTCACATATGACTGTCCAGTTTTCCCAACACCTTTTGTTGAAAAACATCTCCTCTTTCTATTGTATGCTCCATTGGACTACTTTGTTGTAAATTAACTTTCCATTTACGTGAGTATTTATTTCTGGGCTCTGATTTTATTCCGTGGTCTGAGTTTCTGCTCTTTTCCCCCAGTAGTGCACTGTTTTGATTGTTGTAATTTTGTAGTATAGTTTAAAGTTGGAGTATGAATTGTCCCTTTAATTTTTCTCAGAATTGCTTTGGCTGTTAGTGGGAGTTGTGGGTAACACAAATTTTAATAGTGATTGTTCTACACTTTTTAAGCATATCATTGGAACTTTAATAGAAATACATTGGGTTTGTATAATGCTTAGATAGAATGATCATTTTAGCAGTGTTGATTTTTTTATTCTGAGAACATATGCTCTTTTTCCATTTCCTTATAGATCCTTCTGTTTGTTTTAATAATTACTTACAGTCTTTCGCCTCCTTTGTTAATTTGATTCCTAGGTACTTGATTCTTTTGCCTGGCATTGTAATGGTTTTTTTCCTCCTTAATTCTTTCTCTTCTCATTTGTCACTTATGTTGTTTCCATGTAGATATAGAACGGGTTTTTGCATATTGACTTTGTAGACTGCCCTTTGCTGAAGTGGTTAATTGTTTCTAATAGTTTTGCTGGAATCTTTAGGTTTTCTTTGTATATTATATCATCTGCAAATAGTGGTAGCTTAACTTTTTCCTTTTCAATTTGGATCCCCTTTTTATCTTTCCAATTTGGGGCAAGTTGCCCTTCCTTCCTTCCTTCCTTCCTTCCTTCCTTCCTTCCTTCCTTCCTTCCTTCCTTCCTTCCTTCTTTCCTTTTCTGTTCGAGGTAGGATGGTTGGGCCACATCACATGGTGCAGCGACCTATTCCCAGCTGTTTGCTCAAGATTCACTTCTGGTTGTGCTGTAGGGGGCAATATGCAGTGTAAGGGACTCAAACTAGTCTGAACAGGTCATCCACATGCAAGGCAAGCACCTTTTCCCATGTATTATCTCTCTGTCTCTAGATGCATTCTTTTCACATTTAAAGAATATTTCTGAGAATAGCTCAATATACTGTTTTAGTATATGAGTTGAAACCAACTATAAAACTTTTATTATAGCTCTCAAATGGATAGTATTCATGCAAAAGTTTTGCATTGTCCAGCTAAGGTAATACTATGCAGAGATTTCCTTGTCGGTTTTTTCCTATGCAAATGTAGCATCTTTTTTTAGTTACTGGGAGACTTTGTCAAAAAAGGCTCAAGATATTCTGAGTCTTGAAATTGTTGAATGATAGAAGAAAAATGTAGTTTAACATTTTCAACTAAATTACTATATCTTCTTCCATTTAGAATTTAACATATACATGTTTTATGTTTTTTAAAGTTCTAAATAATGGCAAGGTATTTCATTATGTGTTTGTTATACAAAACTAATAAATTATTAATTAATTTAAATTGTGTCATTTGCAAAACCTTAATGTCTCAAAGTCATACCATATAAACTTTAAACAGTTCTGTCAAAGATAAGCAATGGATTGGAGCCAGAGTGATGGTACAATGGATCAAGCATCTTGCACACAGCCAACCTGTGTTCCATCAGAAGCATCCCATATGGTCCCCTGAGCCCACCAGGAGTGAGCCCTGATTGTATAGTCAAGAGTGAGCCCTGAGCAGTGCCAGCTGTGGCCGCAACCCTCTCCCCACCAAAAACAAGATAAGCAACAGATAAGCAACAGCAGATATAATTCAGGGGGAAAAGATTCATGGTATCATTAGATGCTCTTATTATAAGTTTTAGTACTGAAAACATTTTTAGATAATCTTATAATAATCTGATTATAAATTTAAATAAAATATTATTAGATATTTTTTCAGTGTTACCCAAAAGAAAATATTGTGCCTTTAAAATGTTTACACATAGGGAGGGGGACTGGGAGAAAGTGCAGCCTCTGCATGCAGTGTACTCTGATTCCGTCCCCAGCTCTGCAGTGTCGTAGCACACACCAGACTTGGGTTCCATTCCATATACCACGTGGCCCTCCAAGCATTACTAGGTCAAACCTTGGAGGCCCTGCCACCAGCATTGCTGCGTTTGCCGGGCATCCTCAGCACAGCAGAGCAGAGAAGCACAGCATCCTCATGCAGTTGCGCAGAACCAGTGGCCCACCTGGCCGAGAAGCTCTGTCCTGACCCCCTGAACACCTCTTGGCAGGACAGGAAATTCAGAACCATGGTGACTGATGTTATGATTTGAAAGTACGATTGCATTAACCTTTGAATGTTTTTAATTTTATGTTTAATCATTCCTGAGGCACTGTTTTCATTACCACTGTTAATGATGGTTTCATACAAACATCCTCCAGCGCCACACCCACCACCCGTGAGCCCGCCTCCCTCCACCGAAGTTGACTGTATCGCTTTTTATATTTCATCTATGTTTCGTTTAAAATGTTTCACCGGCGTTGTGTTTTCAAAGTAGTGTCAAATATGAAAATCAGAGTCATAAAGGTTGTCTGTTTACTTTATGACAGTCTGGGGGAGACACACCTGATGGTGCTCAGAGGCCCATGCAGCACTAGGGATCAAACCCAGGCTTCCTGCACAGGAAGCGTGAGCTCAGCTCTTGGAGCTGTCACTCCGGCCCCCGATTCTATGATGATTGTTGGCAGGGCAGTGGGTGGAGTCCTCCCAAGTGGTGTTTAGCAGAGCCTGGCAGTTCTCTGATACCCATGCTAGCAATTCAATGCTGTGGCCCAAGACTGAAGTGAAAATTGGGGCCTTCAGGTAGTCAGCCAGTGACTACCAGGTACTCTAGGGCTGCACCAAGGGGCTCAGGGGACCATATGTGGTGCTAGAGATTAAGCCTGGGTCAGCCACATGTACCTTAGCCCCTGAACTATCTCTCCAGCCCCTATGACAATTTTCTAAATACAATGAAGAACAGAGAGTAATGAAACAGTTCCCCATCATCCCGCCACCCAGAACACATTTTCAACCAACTCTGTCATATTTGCTTCAGATATTTGACTTTCTTCTTAAAAGAAATAGTCCAACAAAAACCACGAAGCTTTCATTGTATTATTGCCCAAGTCCTTTCGTCTTCTTTTCTAGCCAGAGATAATCCTTATTATGAAGTTGGTATGCACATCCCCATTCAAGATTTTTTTGGTAACAGGATCAAACCCAGGGTGTTATACATACAAAGCATGTGCCTTAAACACAGAACTACATGCCTAATCCCAATTTTAAGTATTAATCACAGATAATTGTATGCAGGAACTTTCAGGCTGAAGTATAATTAAGATATAAATGTTCTGTGACTCACTTTTTCCCTAAATATTATATTTTTGAGCCTTAACCTGCATGAAATGTTTTTGATGCCATCCTCCAGTGCGTCTGTACTTTCTTAAGGTGCAAAAGCAGCTAACACCATAAACTTTTTGAGGCCTACTACTTTAAACCACCTTTTCAGTATGAACTGCATAGCTTCATGCCATTCAACTCCTTTTCTTTGCTTAATAGCTTAAATCCTGCCTCTTATTTTGAATATAAGTTTAAAAAAAAGCTTCTATATTTCTGACGACCAAAGTTTCCCATTAAGCAATACTCCATCATTCAAACTTGTTCAAAAGAGCTTGTGTTGTAAGTAATTATATTTTGATAAAATATGGATTGAATCTCATTGTAGATTTTATATGAAGTAATGTAAAGCTTGCTAGAGAAATTGCGTACAGTGGGTAAGTCTCTTGTCTTGCATATGGCTTTGCCTATTTCGCTTCTTGGTACCACATATGGTTCCCTAAGCTCTGCCAGGCGTGATCCCTGAGAAAAGAATCAGGGATAATCCCTGAGGACAACTTGGTGTAACCTAAAGCAAACTAGAAGGAGAAAAATAAACCTTGTGGTACCAGATACCTGTGTTGTGTTTAGTGCTTTTATTTGTCACTTGTTCTTATTTTGCTGTTTTGTTTTTTACAGTTTCATCACTGGTCCAACTGTCACTCCCGGGTACTTCTCTGTTAATGCTGACAATGTGGTTCTTGTTTTAAATGGGAGAGAAAAAGCAAAAGTCTTTTATGCCACCCAGTGGTTACTCTATGTACAAAATTTATTGAAAACTGAAAAACTCAAGCATCTTGCTGTTGTTTTGCTTGGAAATGAACATTGTAATAATGACTGGATCCTTCAGTTCCTCAAAAGAAATGGAGGGTTTGTGGAGCTGCTCTTCATAGTGTATGACAGCCCATGGATCAATAATGTGGATATATTCCAGTGGCCCTTAGGAGTAGCAACGTAAGTACAAAATGCTATTACACATTTCTAGCTCAGTGTTTCAATGAGGAAAATTATGTTGTAAAATTTGATCAAAATAAAAGTATGATTTGGTCTCATGATTTGGCAACAATAAGGATGTTTCAGCTGAGTTGGTTTTGGGGTTGGTGTTGTGAGTGTGTGTGTGTGTGTGTGTGTGTGTGTGTGTGTGTGTGTGTAAAACCTCCAAAAAACCTCCAAAGATGAACTTTCAAGTTTGGTCTCATGATTCGGCAACAATAAGGATGTTTCAGCTGAGTTAGTTTTTGGGTTGGTGTTGTGAGTGAGTGTGTGTGTGTGTGTGTGTGTGTGTGTGTGTGTAAAACCTCCAAAAAACCTCCAAAGATGAACTTTCAAGTTTGGTCTCATGATTCAGCAACAATAAGGATGTTTCAGCTGCGTTGTTTTTTGGGTTGGTGTTGTGAGTGTGTGTGTGTGTGTGTGTGTGTGTGTGTGTGTGTGTGTGTAACCTCCAAAGATGAATTTTCGAATTTACTATGAGTACCCTAAAGTGCTTTCAAGTTTAGGAGTCACCTAAAAAAGATGTTTAGCTAAGACTGAAAGAAGGAACAGTTTTAGTTCTATATAATTTGTAGCAAAAACAAATCCAGGAACTTTAAGGCAATATAAATCACTGTACTCTTAGGTTTGAAGGCATCTCTTTTATTTTAAAAGAACTTAATAGCTAAGGCCTCTTAGTATGTCACTTATGTATGTCTTCTCTAAGAGAGAAAACTTGTATTATTGCCTGTTAATAGGAGGTTTTTCATTAATTAGTTGAGGGAGATAATTTGGCAGGCTGAGTGTATATGTGCATACTGGGGCCCAGGTTTCATCCCCAGCACCACCTGATCCTTTGAGCACAGGGCTGAGAATAGCACTTGAGCATTGCTGGGAATAGTCCCAAACTGTTGACTTACAGATAAGTTGTCCATACTACATAACCTTCCAGAAGGAGGAAGTTTTTTTCCTTGATGTTCATCACATTATTTGCAGAGCTTATAACCTGCAGCCTAAAGCTGTAGCCACTCAGGGGTGGAGCGATAGCACAGCGGGTAGGGCATTTGCCTTGCATGTGTCCAACCTGGGTTCGATTCCCAGCATCCCATATGGTCCCCTGAGCACCGCCAGGAGTAATTCCTGAGTGCAGAGCCAGGAGTAACCCCTGTGCATTGCCAGGTTTGACCCAAAAAGAAAAAACAAAACAAATGAAGCTGTAGCCACTCAGAGAAGGCACTCAGTAAGTACTTGTTGAATTGATAATTTACAAAAAATATCACTGTTGACTTTTGGATCTGATATTCCTGATTTATTTCTCTATCGCTGGTTACCAGCTGAGGCACTAGTCTGCTACCTGGTTGGTTATTCAAACACCACCAAGGCCATAGCATTCCTGCCTTGCTTCTACAATTTTCTCACTCAGGACTTGAGGTAGTGTCAACAAAAACATTTATATTGAGTATAAGTCTAAAACTGAAAAATCTGTCATTTCAGCAGTAAGTACCTGTACTTGTGAGATGTTTTGGGACAGAATTAATACTTTTGTCCAGGTTATGGTTCAGCCTTAGAGCATTTGCCTTTTATAGTACTTAGCACCACAAAAGTAAATTTTTTTAATTTACATTGTTCTGGCCAGAGAGATAGCACAGAAGGTAAGTTACTTGCCTTGCAAGCAGCAACCCTAGTTTGATCTCTAGCACCACGTTTGTCCCCCCACATACACCCTCAACTCAGAGCCAGGAATAAGCCCTGAGTACAGCCGGGTAAGGCCCCAAACCCCACCCCCATTTTTAGGAATTTTTTTTTAATTTAATCAATCCATATAGTTTAGGATGAAAAGTCTATAATTCTGATTTTGTGATGTAAGCCAGTATCTTTCTTAGAAACCAGTGATTATCAACTAGAGGCACTCCCCCATCTCCCCAAGATACTTGGCACTATTGGAGGTCTTTTGGGTTGTTTTCAAGTGGAAAGAGAAGCTGATGATGATTTGGAGAGGCTAGAGATGCCGCTAAAAACCAAACATGAACACCTGTAACTATCTCACGGTGATTCAATAAAATTTAAAACAACAACAACAAAAACCCTACGGTGTGAATACAGCTCCCACAACACAAAAGTGATCTCATCCCAAATACAGGAACAAGCCTGACAGCCTACTTTAGACTGTTCAGTAAAACTTAGCTCTTTCATAAAGACTGTCAGATACCTTGTTGGACGCTATTATTTCTAAGTACTTCTAAGAGAGCTAGTTGCAATCAGCCTCTCCTATATAATATGCAAGGCTTTTTTGTTATTATTTTATTCTTTTTGATAAGCCTTTGGAATTAGAGTTCTTTGCTATAGCAATCTGTATCCTTTAATCTTTCTGTTGCCATGGGTAAAATCACGATCTGTATGAATACAGATTGTTTATACGTTTGAGGATGTTGAATTCAACCTGCTTTACACCTGTAGGTTTATATGGTAGTTGGCAGATACATAAATGAAGCACCTTAGAAGCATAATCTCCTCTGTGATAATTTTTAAAAAGATTTCAATGTGAAGTTTTTATAAATAAAATTAATAGATGCAGAGGTTTTCAATAAGGAAGCATGGAAATTGTATTTGGAATTTAGAAAATCTTTTTAAGTATCTTTCCCTTATGTTTTCATGCTAGCTAAGATGTTGGGTTATGGAAGTTATACCAGTCCTATTGCCATATGTTGTTTATTCATATATGCTTGTTTTTACAGATACAGAAATTTTCCTGTGGTGGAGACAAGTTGGTCTATGCTATATAATGAAAGGCCATACATATGTAATTTCTTGGGAACCATTTATGAAAACTCATCCAGACAAGCACTAATGAGCATTTTGAAACAATATGGGGATGATAAGCTTTGTTGGGTTTCACCAAGAGATAAGTAAGTTCAATGTTTACTCAGTGCAGCTGTTTTGATGTCTGATTTATGTGGCAAAACAATGTCCCAAGAGATATAATTGTTAACTTTATTGTACCAATATTTCCTCCAGAAGATATACTGGTCACTAAAACTGGGAAGAATCTGAACTGCATACAACTAAAATAGGGAGACTTTCCCATAATTCTAGTAAACCAGAGTCTAGTAATGTCGATTAACAATATTTGTTAAACTTTACATATAAGAGATTATAAATGCCAATTCCTGAGATATTTAGGAAACCATATCAGTACCTAAGACTGGCCTTTACTCTCTGTACTATCTCTCTAGGTCAACAAGTTTTATATCATTTCATATAAAATCTACAATGAGATTCAATCCATATTTTTTCAAAACATAATTACTTATTACACAAGCTCGTCTGAACAAGCTGAATGATGGGGCATAGCTTAATGGGAAACTTTGGTTGAAGACAGATCTATTTGCTTGGGATAATGGGAAATGTGGTAGCTTTTTTTTTTAATTTTAGAAGATGGAATTTCAGCATGATGCTATGCTGGAAAGATGGTTTCAAGTAGTAAGTCTCACACCGCTTATGTTGTGAGCTGCTTTTGCACTTTATATGAATAAAGTGTCTGTTGATGGGTGAGAAACTACAGATGAGCTAAAATGGAGGAGGGCATCATAAACATTTCATGCAGGCTAAGCCTCAAAATTAATATTTGTGAAAGTAGCTACATAAGATTATTTGTGATTAATAATTAAAATTGGGATTGGACATGCAGTTCTGTGGTAGAGCTTTGAATATATGAAACACTGGGTTTGATCCTGGCACCAAAAATTTGAATGAGGAAATAAACACCAACTTCATAACGAGGATTGTTTCTGACAAGGAAGGAATATTAGAGGACATGGAGAACAATACAATGAAAGCTTAATTTTTCTTGGAAATAATTAAATTAGAATTCTTTTAGGAAGAAAGTCAAACATCTGGAGCAAATATGACAGTTAGCTGAAAACATGTTTGTTCTGAGTTGCGCATAAATGGAATTTGTTTTTAAGTAAGTGAATAAAATGTTATTTTATCTAAACAAGGTCATTAAAGAAATAAGGCTTTGGGGCTGGAGAGATAGCACAGCGGGTAGGGTGTTTGCCTTGCATGCGGCCGACCCGGGTTCGATTCCCAGCATCCCATATTGTCCCCTGAGGGAGTCCCAGGAGTATTTCCTGAGTGCAGAGCCAGAAGTAATCCCTGAGCATCGCCAGGTGTGGCCCAAAAAGCAAAAAAAAAAGAAAGAAAGAAAGAAGTAAGGCTTTAAAATGTCCCAAATCTAGAAATTTTATGTGTTTAATTGGGGCATATACTCTCTTCAAATAAGCAGAACTCCCAGATCTGTTGTTTGTGAGTCATATGATATTTAGTTGACAAAATATTTATCAAGGAAATTGCTGCTTGCCCAAAACTGTTTGATATGAGGGGTACAGCAATGAACAAAACAGTCACAAGTCCATGCCTCTTGGGATTTAAATGCTTGTTAATGGAGATCAATGAGTAAAACATACTGTGTCAGAAGATTATAAATGCCACGTGAAAAAATGAGCAGGGGAGAGAGAAGTACAAGGGCTTGTGGGTGAAACATTTGCTGTTTCAAAGTGGCCAATTAAAGAATAAGTAAGAATACATTTAAACCCCAGCTTAGTGGGGCAGTACTGGGACTTGCACCTATTTGGGAGACGTCTCTATTAAGAGAGCAAGTATAAAGGACCTAATGTAGGAGTGTGTATGTGATGGTTGGGACAGTGTTCTACACTGGACTGAATGGCTATGTAAAATAATGGTTTTCTGTGGGAATAGAATTGTTCCACAATTTCTCTCTTACTATTGGAACATGAGGTAAAGTAAATTACCTCCTTGCTTCTCCAGACCATTTTGCCTTTTCCCTCTCACTGAGTAATACCACCCATTACTTTTCCTCTTTGAAATCATATATGCTATCCCCTGTGCTTGTCCCTTTAACTTTTTAAGAGTTGCATTCCTGGAAGAATCATTCACTTTCACATTACTCCAAGTTATTTTTTGTTGATTCCCAAATCTAACATGTTTCTATCACCTAGGTATGCCGTCTTTACCTCCTCATTGGTAGTGGTCTGCTCCTTCACTTGACCTTAGCTACTTACCATCACTTCCTAGCCATTGTCATGACATACACTGTTGCTTCTGCATGATCTCAGGTCAGCATCTCTCTCTACCCAATATGTCTTATCATTCTCATAGTCTGACTGACAATTTAACTAGCTCCTATTACCTTTCATTATCCCTTGCTTACCTCATCTTATTAGTTCTTTGCTCTGCAGGCTTCTTAGTCAATCATGACTGCATACACATTTAGTTCCTTAGTTTTCTAATTTAGCAAATCCTAATTCTGGTTAAATCCTCTTACCTGCTGTATATCTGCACCTATGTACTCAAACATACTTAGAGAAAGCTGCTGGACAACCTTCCTTTAAATACACCATCATCAGGGGTTGGAATTAACCACAAGTGTGTGTGGGGCTGAGGGTAGGTAAGATAGAGAAGAGACTGCTATGACAGTAATAGCTGGGAATTATCATGCTGGACAAGATCTGAGGGTTAAAAGTAAGTAAGGGATATTCTTGATAGCCTTTCAGTATAAATATTGCAAACCATGATGCCCAAAAGTTGGAGAGAGAGGGATGAGAGAGAGACAGAGATAGAGAAAGAGAAAGAGAGAGAGACAGAAGAAAAGCACCTGCCAAAGAGGCAGGTGGGGGTCAGGGTGATGGGAGGGAACCTGGGGACACTGGTGCTGGGAAATGTACACTGATGGAAGGATGGGTGTTGGAATACCGTATGAATGAAATCCAATCATGAACAGCTTTGTAATGCTCTAAAATAATAAATAAAAAACAAAAAGAAAACAGAAAAAAGTACATGTCCATGACCACCCAGTGCCAAGCAATCATATGTTTCCATTGTCCGTATATTCTCCCCCTGTCCTAGAAGACTCATATCTCTTCTCTCTTCACAACTTCTCTTAGCCTTATCATTCTCTTGCTTATTTCACTGAGCAAATAGGATGAGTGAAATAAAGTAGAGTGCCTAGCTTTCTAACTGGCTTTACCACTTCTGTCATTGTCCCTGTGCTGTCTTCTCAACAGGCAGCCAGGATGATTGTGGCACAGCGGGTAGGGTGTTCGCCTTACAAGCAGCCAACATGGCCGACCCGAGTTCGATTCCTCCGCCCCTCTCGGAGAGCCCGGCAAGCTACCGAGAGTATTCGATATGCCAAACACAGTAACAACAAAGTCTCCAATGCAGACGTTACTGGGCCCGCTCGAGTGGTAATATATAGGTCACATCAATTATTGCTTTTAGCAACTCCCTGCTCCATGGGATGCTCTTATTACTTCCTTTACACCTTTCCCAGTCAGTGTGTCTGCTTCAGCCACCCTGGTTCCCTTGCTCTTCCTTGGATGTTCCAGGAACATGCTATTTTGTCATCTTTCTGCTTGCTCTGCTCTGTCCTCCCAGATATCTGGAGGGTTTCTCCTCACCTCTGGCTTCATCCAGCAACCCCTGCAGTGAGCTATTCCCTGATAACCTCTTTACAGCACTCCCCCTTGGAAAATTCCTCCTCCATTCTCTGCGTAATTTTTCTCAGAGCATTTAGCACCTTCCAAATGCTTTCCTGACTTGTTCACTATTCATCTCCATCACTAGGCTAGAATATCAACTTCATGAGGGCAGGGATTTGGATGGTGGAGAGTGAAGATCCACCACTTAAGAAAACATTAGTTGAATAAACTTTCAGAATTCGTAGGTAACCACTAGGTTTTTTAAATGTGTATCTGTAAAGTTTTCCAGTTCTTACATATGTCCAAGAAACCTTGTTTGGGCATGATTTTACTTCTCTGCCTGTCATCTCTGCATTTACCATTTCTTATAACTGGTGTTAAAATAAAAACTTTTTCTTTCCCAAATGTCATGCTTAGTAAAGTGGAAGCTACAGTTGTTTTTCTGTTTTTTCTAGATGGCAGCCTCAGGAAACAAATGAAAGCCTCAAGAATTATCAAGATGCTTTGCTTCAGAGTGATCTCACATTGTGCCCGGCAGGAGTAAACACAGAATGCTATAGAATATATGAAGCTTGTTCCTTCGGCTCTGTTCCTGTGGTGGAAGATGTCATGACCGCTGGCAGCTGTGGAAATACTTCTGCTTATCACAGTCCTCTGCAGTTGCTCAAATCCATGAACGCTCCCTTTATCTTTATTAAGAACTGGAAAGAACTTCCTGCTATTTTAGAAAAAGAGAAAACTCTAATTTTACAAGACAAGATTCAGAGAAGAAAAATGTTACTTCAGTGGTACAAACAATTCAAAAAAGAACTAAGATTGAGATTTACTGATGTTTTAGAAAGTTCATTTTTCAAGAACAATAAAGATTAATTGTTAATTATCTTTTTAGCTAGGAGCTGATTTTTAAAAAGAATTTGCCTAATGTTGGTGTGTGTATATGTGGTGTGTGTTTATAAATACTATTGAAAGTACCTTCTTAGACCCTAGATTATGTTCTATCATGCTGACCAAGTGCAACACTAATGTGGTCTCCTGAGCACTGCTAGGAGTGACCCCTGAATACAGACCCAAGAATAAGCCCTGACTGTTGCTGGGTGTGGCCCCAAATAAATAAATGAATAAAATCTTACCTCTACGTCTACTCTCTAGGGATCTTGATCCAGCTTCCTGATACTTGAGTTTAGGTTACTTTCAGTGTAAGGTAAAAGGTAAAGGTAAAGGCCCTCCCGTTGATCGTCGATTTGCTCGAGCGGGCCCAGTAACGTCTCCATTGGAGACTTTGTTGTTACTGTGTCTGGCATATCGCATACTCTCGGTAGCTTGCCGGGCTCTCCGAGAGGGGCGGAGGAATCGAACTCGGGTCGGCCATGTTGGCCGCTTGTAAGGCGAACGCCCTACCGCTGTGCTATCGCTCCAGCCCAGTGTAAAATAAAAATAAAAATGATACCTCATAAGAGCTAGTTATATATGAAATGATATATAAAGCACCTATAATCCTATAATATCAGCCATAAATTTTAAATAGTAATTAGTACTTTATTCTTCAGTCATCACAAGTTAATAATGAGTCAAAATTTAAATATCTTAACATATACTCACTTGCCATGTAATCATAAACCATGTTATAAAGGTCCTGGCAAAATCTTAAAGAGTTAGACTTTTAAAGTATTAGACTTTTAGATTACTAAAATTTTTTAAAAGCAAAATTTGGTCAATTTATGCAAAAAATAAGCTGGGCAATACAAGCCAGAATAGTTATCTCTGAGAAGTTGTTTTTGAAGTGCTAAGACTAGCCAGGGCCAGGGAGATAACTCAAAGAATTGGCATCGTCAAATAATCTAAAGATCTAGCAGTCTGAATATAGAGGACCTTTCCTTTGCTTCATAATGGAGAATCATGGTGCCTGCCACACCCCACCCAACTCTAAGGAGGCTGACCACCAACACCCTGCTCATAGGTAGCTGTTGTATCCCTTATGTTTCTCTCCTTAGTCCCACATGCTAGATAATAGCTAGGGGTGCTTTATTTAGGAACACTGTATTGACAGACTTCCTGACTATCTAGGACATTGGTACGAAGATTGAGTGATGCAGCCCTTTCTGGGAGTATTATGGCTGCATGCAAATTTCAGAAATATTTGTTTCAGAAATATTTGTTGCCTATCCTTAAAGAATGCCAGGAGCATTTTGTTGGGGATTGCATTGGATCTGTATAGAGTTTGGGGTAAGATAGATATTTTAATAATATTAATTCTCCCAATCCTGAACAAGTAATATATTTCCATTTCCTTGTATATACTTTTATTTATTTAAGTAATGATTTGCAGTTCTTATTAAATAAGTCAACTCCTTTGTTAATTCCAAGATACTTGATTTTTTTTTACAAAATAGAAATTTTAATTTGCATTCTACATCATTGCACATGAAATGCAACATTTTTGTGCATTTTTTTATCCTGCTACTTTATAGGTTTATTACTTGAGATTATTAGTGTATTCCATAGTTTTCTATATACAATATGTCATTTACAAATAATGATAGTGTCGCTTGCCAATTCGAATCCCTTTAATTTTCCTTTCTTTCCTGATTGCTATGTCTAGGACTTATACTGAACAGACACGAAGCAGAAATCCTTGTCTTGTGCCTGATATTAGAGAAAAGTTTTTAGATTTTTGCCCTGGAGTATGATATTAGCTATAGGTTTTTAATATATATCATTCACCTTATTGAGGTAAGTTCATTTATCCTTATTTTGTTGAAGAATATTCTCATAAATGGGTGTTGTATCCTATTAAATGCTTTCTCTACATCTATTGGTATAATCATGGGTTTATCCTTTTTATTGATGTAGTGTACCACATTGATTGGTTTGCATATATTGAACCATCCTTTTCATCCATGAAATAAATCCCACAAGATCATGATGTATTGTCTATTTAATATATTGTTTAATTCAGTCTACTAAAATCTTATTGGGGATCTTTTTGAAGACAGACATATAGATAGTACAGCCTTAAGGAAGAAAATGGAAATTCTTCTGTAAGAATGTCTCCTTACTAATATTTGGTCTAGTTTATCTGTCCAATGGTGAGAAATATGTATTAAAATTACCTGCTACTATTATAGTACTATTGATATCTTTCATTCGGTTTGTTAGTCATTGCTTTATGTATTTTGATGCTCCTTTGTTTTATATATATATGTATACACACATATATGTCCCTTGATCATTATATAATTCCCCCTCTACAAGTTTTTCATTCTTCCTGTTTTTAATTAGGGATGTTCATATACAATGATGCTAATAGAGTTTCAGGCATACAGCATCTCAGCTGCGCACACTTCAGTGCCTGTTCCTCCATCAGTGTTTCAAGGTCCCCTCTGACCTCCCCACTGTACCACCTTGGAAATTTTTAAAATCTTAGTTATAGTTTTATCCTTTTTCATTTTGAAGTCTATTTTGCCTAAGTGTGATATCTGTTTGTTTGTTTGGCTGTTACTTATCTGCATGATTGTTATCATGACAACTCAGATGTCTTTCTTAGAAGCAAAAGAAGGTTGGGTTCATTTTCCTGATCCATCCAATCACTGCACTTTTGATAAGTGAGTTCATGCCATTAATGATAAGCAAAATTATTGAAGTAAGTTGTCCGGCTTTTGTATGGCCTTGTGGTATTTCTACAGTCTTTGTTTCTTCCGTCTTCTACCTGCTTCCCCTGTACTTTAATACTTATCTTTTGTGTTGTAGTCAGGTTCCATTAGCCTCTTTTTGTTATAGTTATTTTGACAATATCATGCTCTTTGCCTCTGAACTTCTAAGTTGATATTCCCTCATATGTTCATGAATCTAGAGCCCAGTATACTGGCTTCTTTGTTACTTTCCTCCTTTCCCACATTTTGGTTTATATTTTACTACTTTTGAGTATGTTTTATTTGACTTTTATTTTAAAATATTTTAAAGTTTGATGTATCTTGTAGTGCTGGTTCAGTGGAAATGAACTTCCTGTATTGTGTTTGTCTGTGAAGCTTTGTGTAATTCCTTTTAATTTGAATAACTTACCTGGAATAGAGTATCCTTGTTTAAATGCCTGCTGGATTCATTATGGTGTCTGCATTGTACGATTGCCTTCTAGCCTGCAGGATTTTGTTCAGTATGTTCAAGTTCCCATCTATGTAACTTTTGCTTTGCTCTTAGGACTCTTTCTCTTTGGGTTTTGCCATTTTAGTACGTCTCATGTTATGTTTGGATTTATTTTATTTAAGAGTCATTGAGCTTCTTGGCTCTGAGAACATGACTCAGTCCTATTGGAAGAGATTTCAGCTAAAATTGTTTCCACTAATTATTTCTCCCCATTTTCTTTCTTCTTCTTTGGTCACTTATTATTTCAAATATATTCCTGTTGAGGCTATCCCAAACATCTGTGATGTTATCTTCATGTTTGGAAGTTTTATTTTTCTGTATTCTGTCCTTTGTGGGTGATTTAGTGCTTTTTGCCTGGAATGCACTGATTCAGTCCTCAGCTTCTATTGATGTATTGATGAGTCCCTTTGTTGTACATTTTTTGCTCACCTACTATGCTTCTCAGTTTGGTTGTTTCTGATCAAAGTTTTTTCATGCTTTCTCATTCTTTGTTGAAGCTCTCATTCCAGTGATTATCTAAGGGAAGGGCGAGGGGGTCATACCCAGAAGCGCTCAGGGGCTATTCCGTCTCTTGTACTCAAGGGTCAGTGGGGTCGACCACATGCAGCTCAGGGTCTTTAACCCTTATAGTATCTCTCCAGCCCAAAGTGAATATCTTAACAATAAATACCTTTTTGGGTTCTTTCAGTATGGGAAAAGGGACATTGAGGATGCATTTTTTCCCCCTTCAAAGATCAATTAGGCCTGAGGACCTTCCAAGTGCATTTGTATAGGAAGATACTTGGGTTTCTAGGATGGTTATAGATTATTCAAGTTAATTGCCTCTAGGTGTATAGAACCACTGATCTGTGAAGGTGAGTGGTTTCTGTCAGCTCCTTCCATCCAGATGAATTCACACAGAGAGAATTACTGGAAACTGGTTCACTAGATAGTAGTTCTGAGAATTCCCAGAAGTAATTAGGTTTCCACTTGCTGTGAGTAGTCTGGGCTGTGTCCTAATATCACTGGCCCTTAAAAAAAAAAAAAAAACACCTTTTTACTCCTTTTTCAGATCTCTGTGTTTCTCAAACTACATAACTAAAATTGTATTCACTATATTACTCTTTCAAAACAAGTACACACAGACACACACACACACCCTATTTCTTCTCAAACCTTCTTAATCTCAGTAGATGGTGTCATTATGCTATTTCTCAGAGTATTTTCTATACATTCCTATTTATTCTTCCCTATCTCTTCAGTTAATTACCATGTTCTGTATTTTTACTGCTTTTCAAATACCTAGTTTGTTTAGGCAAAAACTTTTTAATCAAATAATCCTCAAGTAGCAAATTTTTACTGCAGAAATAATATGATGTTATTGAGATACATTTAAAAATGAGGATGGAATAAAATGCCTGGGGTCAGAGAGATAGTACAGCAGATAGGGCACTTACATTGCATGTAATCAACCCAGGCTTTATCTGGCACCACATATAGTCCCCTGAGCTCTGCCAGGAATGATTCCTGGGCACAGACCCAGGAATAAGTCCTGAGCACTTCAGTGTATGCCCTCCATCCCCTAAAAAATCAAGAATGGAGTATCCTTACTTATTATATATATATATAATATGTGGATTATGTATATAATATGTATTATTATTAGGTCTATAAAATAGTTTGAGATTGAAACCATAGTTATGGAAAGCAAAACTTCCAAAATATAGAGCTTCATATGGCCAATTCTAAACTAAGTCCTCTGTAAATAC